AAAAAAACTGTATAAAACTATAAAGTTAAGGGACTAAAAGTTTTGCATTTAACCATACCAAAATATGGCTGCTGCAGTTCGGTCTCATGAGGACGATGTTAAGTTCACCTAAATCTTCACCAGATTCTCTGTCTCGTTCTCTCCTCCGCTCACGCGCTCTGCCCCGCAACTGCAACTCACGCTCCTTGTTTTCCCCCATAGATAAGGGGCAAAACCCCACAGTTGCCCTTCATTTTCTAAGTGTGTAGAATTTTACCCTTTATCTTATAATATGTAATTTTATATTTTCTTGATATTTAAGTTTATGATAATGAAGTAATTTTTAATGTTACAGGTCACGTACAACCCTAAAAAATTATAAGGTAAGAGATAAAGTTTCACATATTCAAATACCATGATAGTATAAAATCATAAACTTAAATACTAAAAAAAATATAAAATCACATATTATAATATAAATTATAAAATTTCACACATTCAAAAAAATTGAAGGGTAATATGTGAGTTTTTGCCATAGATAAGGAGAAGCAAAATAAAAAGCAGATTAAATAAATAAATAAATAAATAAAACTTAAGAAGTGCAAGTCAAAACCGGAAAACACAACAACCGACCAACCTAATCCGAAACAACCAGATCATGCCACGTCATCACTAGAAGGGGAAACAGTTGAACCACTGTCACGTGGCAAGATCTAACGGTATTGTGCTGTCCAGACCAGCTCTCGGTTAACGGGATTTGGAGGGAAAAAAAAATACAGTAATAATTCTTTACCAACAGAAAAAAAAAAGCATAAATTCATAAAAAAAAATAAAAAAATTTTATGTAATCTGCATAATATTATTTATTAATTAAAACATATCTCATAACATTTATATTTAAAAAAAGAAAAAAATTAGAATAATTTGATATTAATAATATTAAGATATTTAATTATAGTTATGAAATATGTAAAATATAATATAAATTTTAATTTTATAAATTTATTATATAATTATTATCAACTATCCTAATATTTTTAATACGAGATTATTGATTTTCTTATTTTCTTAATATTATTTTCTTTAATAGTTTTAATTTTATAATTTAATTTGTTGTTGTTTACATTGCAAACAGTAATTTAAATAAAAAATAGAAAAAATGTAAAGGAAAAAAAAAGAGAAAAACAAAATAAAATCGGAACAAACACAACGGTTCGCATTATTATTATAGTTTAACGAGCTCTGATTCTGTGTCTTTCTGTCCTCTTCCTCTCTTAGGTTTCCGTTTTCTGGCCGGGAAACTGTGTCAGCGATCGCCGGTGAATTGCTCGGTAAAGTGAGTATCGTGGACTTCGCCGGGGCAGTAGCCAGGTATTCAGTTTTTGTTATATGGTTTGGTTCCGGTTGGGAATCTCTAAGTTTCGTTTTTATTTTTGTAATTTTGGGTGCAGATCTGGTTTTTCAGAGAGTTGTGGGGTTCCTATGACTGTTAATTTTGATTTTTGTGTTGAATTTTGAAATGAATTTGGGGAGAAAATAGCAATTTAGGGTTTTCGGTTTTGGGGTTGGGGTACATAGCCGACGGGATGAGATCTGGGGCGCATTCAGGGATTGTGGTGAAGAATAGGAACTCGTCGGGTTGTTTGATTGTGAAAAAGAAGGGTGATGAGTCGGGTGGTGTCAGGTCTTCTGGGACCGGAAAAGTTTACGGATCTAAGAAAGAGAAGAAGAGGCCAAGAAAGGTTGCGAGTGACTCAGGGTCTAGTGATGAGTTCTCAATGCCACCTCGTAGAAGGGTTGGGTCTGAAACCATTCAAGTGTGTAATAGTTTAGCTGTTTATGGGAAGGGTATTGTAGATGAAATTGAAACGGGTAGAAAGAGGACTAGGAAGGAACACATTAGGCGTAATAAGGGCGGTTTCATTGGTCGGAGCGATTCAGGGTCTAGTGATGAGCTCTTGATGCCACCTCGTGGAAGGGTTGGGAGTGAAACGGGTAGAAAGAGGACTAGGAAGGAGCACATTAGGCAAAATGAGGATGGTTTCATTGGTCGGAATGGTGTGGACTGTAGTGAGAGCAAGAGGAATAGGTTAGATGTGTTTGAGTTCGACGAGTATGATGGAGTTGATGAGGCAGTGTTTATTAGGAAAAAGAACTGTGATTATAGTGGAGATGAAGCTGGGAACAAGATGCTTTTCGGTTCAAGGCCCACAGGAAGGAGTAGTATACAGAGGGACTATGAAAGTGGCTCAAGCAGACACATTTTTCATGAGAACAAGAAAAAGTCGTTCTTTGACAAGAGCAATAGCTTGACTCATGTTGGTCGAGATGATAGGAGCAGGTTTGGGATGGACATGGATGACAATCGGCTTCCTCCATCTTCCTTGCGGGAGAGGTTAATGTCTGATTCAGATGAGCCCATTAGGGTTCAGGGAAAAAATGGTGTTCTCAAGGTGATGGTAAACAAGAAAAAGAAGGTGGGTGAGCCTGTTAAAAATTTTGATCACTTGGAACCTGAGGAAGCTGGACGAGGTTTAAAGATTGGGAGGAAACTGCAGGTTCACCCTTCCTTTTTCTTGGAGAAAGAAGTTCTTGAAAAGCCTGGTTCAAGGACCATGAAAAAACAGATGAAAGCACTAAAATTGCCACCAACTAAGAAGAGTAAGGGCTCCGATTTGGATTCAGAGTCAGAGGACAGTGATTCATCTCTGAAGCTCACACCAAACAATATGGAAGCTTCTAATTCTACAAAGAGGGTCAGTTCCAAAGAGGAAAAAGCACAGGTTGAACAGCTTCTTCGGGCTAGAATCAAAGAAGGGAAAGGTAGGCGTGGTTGTGGCACAGAAAAGCAGCAATTGCGGGAGCGGATAAGAGGGATGCTTTTGGATGCAGGCTGGACAATTGACTATAGACCAAGAAGGAATAGGGATTACCAAGATGCAGTGTATGTTAATCCCACTGGAACGGCTTACTGGTCTATCATAAAGGCTTATGATGCTCTTCAAAAGCAGTTAAATGATGAGGAAGATGAGGGCAAATATGGGGATGCTTCTGTGTTTACCCCACTACCAGATGAAGTACTTGGCCAGTTAACAAGAAAAACAAAAAAGAAAAAGGAAAGAGAGATGAAACGGAAGCAAAGGGATGGCACTAGTGCTGAAAATTCAAAACAAGCTGCTTCCAGAAGATCTTCAAGTATGAGAAATGAAGAGGATAGTTCAGACAGCCTGAGCCATGAAGAGAAACTAAGTTCCTTCCTAAAACAGGGTAAATCATTTAAGAATAGAACAAATGAAAATGGTGCCTCCAGTGCAAGTTCAAAAAGTCAAAATTCAATTCTCCATCTGCATGACAGCACCGAAAGGCCACCCACCACATCTAATCCTCGTCTTGTTCAAGGAAGAAAAAGTAGAAAGTTTAGTAGGTGTACTTTGTTAGTTCGGAGTTCCAATCAGGAGCAAAGTGCAGAGAATGATGGATTTGTTCCATATTCTGGGAAGAGGACTGTGCTTTCCTGGTTGATTGAGTCTGGAACTGTGGAATCAAGCCAAAAGGTGAAGTATATGAACCGCCGCTGTACAAGAGTGATGCTGCAGGGCTGGATAACTAGGGATGGTATTCACTGTGGTTGCTGTAGTAAGATCCTTACTGTTTCAAAGTTTGAGATTCATGCTGGAAGCAAATTGCGTCAGCCATTTCAAAACATATATTTGGAGTCTGGAAGTTCTCTTCTGCAATGCCAAATGGATGCGTGGGATAGACAAGAGGGGTCTGAGCGGATTGCTTTCCACTCTGTAGATACTGATGGTGATGATCCAAATGATGATACTTGTGGCATCTGTGGAGATGGTGGGGATTTGATATGCTGTGATGGCTGCCCATCAACCTTCCATCAGAGTTGCCTGAATATAGAGGTACATTTGCGTTATGTTTTTATCGATGTGGTTAATCTCTCTTGTTTTGCTTTCAGGAACTACCATATGAATTTTAATTTACATACCTTTCTTATTCCCTTTTCTTAAGAAGCAGGGAGGGTTTTTTAATATAGGTGTTAAAGGACTGTGCTGGTTGGTTGTTAAGTTTTCTTAATCTTGTAGTTATTCATTAGGAAGGTCCTTAAAGAAAGTTAAACTGGGTTAGAGATTACAAATAGCTCATACATGTTCAGCGACTTTGAGGACATCATTAGATATTGCTATATTTTTTTTTATTGTTTCAAGTTTCATTGTTGCACATGTGATGTAGGAGAAACATATAACTTATCAGCATAGTCAAGGGGTCTTCGTAAATGTGCTAGAACCAATGTTAAGATGCAACTGTGCAAGGCAAAAGAGTGCTTGCCAGATTGACTGAGGTGCTAATTTAGAGTAGATATATTGAAGAAAAAATCGTTATATCCAATAAACTTAAAATATATGTTCTTTTTGTTAAAAGCTTGAAAAGATTACTCTGTTCTATTGCCCAATGTATTCCACAGATCAAGCTGTATCATAACTAACTAGAAGTCATCATTAAGCTCTAGTTCCAAGTTTCCTTCACTTCCGTGTTATCAAGATTGATAATCATACATATCTTCTTCGAATGAGCACTTCCTCTTCTAATTTTTGGTGATGATGATTCTCTTCTCTTCTCTTGTGTTCTTGTAATTCTGTCAAGTTAAAGTATAACTTGTAAAAGATTAAAAACCTGAAGAAACCAAAAGCAGTGCTTTATTACAAGATGACTCCTCTGAAAGCTTTTATGCACTTTTGCTGGATTGTGCCACACTTTAGCTTCTAGGCTGTACCTTGACTACACTAGAAAAATACAGTTGGCATGTTTGACCCAGGCTAAAAGCTTACTCCTGAAATGTGCCTGTTCTCTGAATTAGTACCTGGCACGCTTTGAGATGTGTGGATTAGAGAAAGTGGTCTGTAGTGGAGATTAGTTTGCTTTAAGTGTTCTTTATGGTCACTATACTTATGGCAATGAAACTAGACATTCTTTCAAAATGGCATCATTGAGAATCTGAACAAGTAGCTCTTAAAGATGCAGGAAAACAGTTTTGATCCTGCTTAAGTGTAAAAACAAGGCAAATCAAAGTAGTGTCAATTTTTTCACCTGATTGATTTTTTTTGATGTTCTTCTACTTATTTAATGGTTGTGCTCGGTAGCATTGGGCGTGAAAAGAATAAGCTTACCTCAATAATTTAACATCTAAGTAATTCAGCCATCATATCATAAATCTTTCCTTGCAGTTTCTTCCACCTGGTGACTGGCACTGCCCAAATTGTACGTGCAAATTTTGTGGTTTAGGAAGCAATATTTCTGAAGGAGATGATGCAACAGACCATAAGTTGCTGCCTTGCAACATGTGTGAGAAAAAATGTACACATTTTCTTGTTTTTGATTTTCTTAAATTCATATTTTTCTTGATTTTCAAGAACTAATGAAATTCTGATTGACATCTAACTTTGCACTTCTATAGATCACAAGTCATGTACAAAGGAAACAGATGCTCTACCTGTTGATTCCAATAGTTTGATTCTTTCTTTTTGTGGGAACAACTGCAGAGAGGTAATTAGTCTTCTCCAGTTTGATGGTTTTTTAGTGCTGAATCTTTCACATTAAGATCTAAATCAAGAAATTATGCAAAGGTGGATGAAAAGGACATTCATTTCTCCTATTGTCTTATTTCATCAAAGGAGGAGTTATCTTTTTAGAACATACACCAATGTAGCCAGCATCTCTGTTAGATGGAAATGATATTTAGCTAAAATTAATATCTTGGAAGAGAAGATTGTTAAAAGTTAAAACAGACTCTATGCCTGTAATATGCCTATCTTGATGGTTTTATCTTGTCGCATTTCATTTAGGAATTTGTATTTGGCATCTGTTACTTATTACCTTCATCTCTCTCAAATTTAACATTCCATCTTTATTTATTCCATGTGGAGTAGACCTGAATGGGGGTGGTGAGAGTTTGGATCCAAGTTAACATTGGGACTGTTACTGGAATTATTATTATTATTAGTTTTTTTTCTTTAGTATGTAAATTTACCGTCCTCTTTCCTTGCTGAAATTAATTTTGTTTCATATTATGAAGGAAAATATTGAAATATTTTTTGCTTCTACAGCTCTTTGAGCATTTACAGAAGTATCTTGGGGTCAAACATGAACTAGAAGCAGGGTTTTCATGGTCTCTTATTCATAGAACAAATGGAGATCCAGACGCATCTCTCCAAGGACTTCCTCAAAGGGTAGAATGCAATTCTAAACTAGCTGTTGCATTGACTGTTATGGATGAATGCTTTTTGCCAATCATTGATCGGAGGAGCGGGATCAACTTAATTCATAATGTCCTTTATAATTCAGGGTGAGTGCTGTGAATGCTTATTTGCAGCTTGAAACAATTGTTATTTAGTTGGTTGTTCTGCTATATAATGCTTGGCTGGCCAAACAGACTTTTTGATAATGTTTGCTTCTTAAGAAGATTATTGTAGTTGTAAGTCTCATTCTGACTGCATGAACAGATGCCGTGTTGTCTTTTTAATCTTCTTCTAAGTTCCATGCCTTATAGTCACCTTCTGGATTTCTTCCTATGCTTTTTTGATTCTATGGAACATTTACATTTTAGCATGAAATCTAGCATGAGCATGTGAGCATGGATGAATAGAATGGCAACATATTGAAAATAATGTGAAATTTTCTTGGCTTTGCCTTATGCAAATTTAGTTTTAAGTAACTTAAAGTACTTTTCTGAAATTCTTTTGCCCAGAGGTTATTAAATCAATTCAATCAAGTTTAGGTTATTTTCCTGGATTTTTTTCCAGCTTGCGTTTTTTCCTTGAGTCCAGTTAATTACCTGTTTAATTTGTGTATGAAAGAGTCTACCCTACCGGTCTCTAACCCCACTCATTTCCTAAATCCCTATTGAACTATTACTCCTATAACCTTTCCCTATGATTGTCTTCCATTTGTTTCTTTTCAATTAAAGGCTTCCAGAGAATTGCTCCAGTAATCCCTTCCTAACATGATATACACTAACTGCTTGTTTCTAGTAATATGAGGTATATTGTTTTTTAGTCAAATTTCCTTTATGTGCTTTAGATGCAAATATGTCATATTTGTTCATCGTTTTTTAAAGTTCTTTTAAGTTTGATGATGGAAATTGCTGTGGATTTTTCATCCATATCCCACATTGCCGCATGTTTAATTGAACCATGAGTTTCTGACCACATAAGGCTGCTTTCATGGATTCTTTCATAAACTGATTTCTACATATCATTTTTGGTAGCATCAATTGTAATTAATTGCTCTTTTGTTTTGAAGATCAAACTTTAATCGGTTGAACTATTGTGGCTTCTATACTGCTATTCTGGAGAGAGGTGATGAAATAGTTTCTGCAGCATCTATCAGGTACCTATTTGCATCTTGTTATTTGTATATATCTCTCTGTCTCTCTATGGAATTGACATGTGATACAATAGCTTATTCAAGTAAGCAACCAAACAATGTAAAAATTACTTATATGTTTGTAAATGTATAGAAGAGGAGTAGCTATATAGAATTCTGTTTCTCATTCTATGTCACTGAAGCTGATAATTTGTATGTGTTTTCCACTTTTTCTTATGAGTATGAATGTTTTGCAGGTCAGTTTTCTTCTGTTACATACTTCTTTGGCATTTTGCCAACTTGTTTCATTGTTGAAAATTGAAATGCATGATTTATTATTGTTGTTTATGCAATGGAATACCAGACTGCTTTGCATGGTTTTAATTCTGGTATTGAAGAGTAACTTCAATTAACTGACAACATGTGTGCATATCCATGTTTGCCTGTTGATGTGGGACTTATGTGTGTTGACTAGCATGTTAATATTTATATTGTTTCTCTTCCTAGTTTGTGTTCCTCATTCCCGTTTCCCTTTTTAGGTTCCATGGTACTCAATTAGCTGAGATGCCATTTATTGGGACCCGCCACATTTATAGGCGTCAGGGGATGGCCCGTCGGCTTTTCTGCGCTATTGAATCAGTAAGCTGTGAAAATTACGTCTGAAAATATTCAAAATCAGATCTGGATATGCTTCTATTGTTCCTGTTCTCTTTGCCTTGAATAAGTCACTGATTTTAGTTTTTTATATCTCTCTCTGAAGGCTCTTCGCTCGCTCAAGGTTGAGAAACTAGTTATCCCTGCAATTGCTGAACTTACCCATACATGGACTACTATTTTTGGTTTCACTCCTGTTGAGGAATCAATAAAGCAAGAAATGAGGTCCTTGAATATGTTGGTGTTCCCTGGTATCGATATGTTGCAGAAGCTATTCTTGGAGCAGGAAAAAACAGAAGGGACCATGTCTCCAATAACAGGTTTTAGTTGTTGCTGTTTATAGCCCTTGTTTAAATCTAATACATCTGTCCACAATGATTTGACTCCTAAAAAATTTTCCTTACAGGTGCAGAGCCAGCAGAAATCAAGTGTCAAATCACACCTAAGGTGGCAGATAAATCTGAAAATGATTCCTCTGTCAGGCATGATTCTCCTCAACATACTGATAGTGGTCTGCAACAGACCAACATGATAAGCAGTGAAGTTGCTGTTGCAGATTCAGATTCCCAATTTCCAAATGTACCTAGAAATGATGCTTCTAGAATCACTGACTCCTTAGACTCTTTTTCTCTGGAACCAAACTGTACTGTCTCTGGTGAGGAAACTGGATGTGCTAATTCTCCAGAAGGGGACAAGAAGGATGAATCTTCTCCAGACCAAAATTATAATTCTATCCCTGACACAAGCCCTAGCACATTAGAGATGGATAGTAAAACAGTGTGGGGTTCTTCTGCTGAAAACAATACTCAGTCTTGTATTGAGGGTCATATAGATGATAAACCTGGATTAGAATCTCCTGTTGAAGGCGGTGCTCTCTCCTCAAAAGAAGGTGATATGGTTGCTAACTTTGGAGTAGGTATCAAAGTTGCTGCTTCTTCTGATGAATTCAAAATCAAAGTTGCAGTTGATGAGAAAAGCAGTGCTTATTCAGAAGAAAATCAGGCTCCACCTTGTGAGGAATGTGATGTGAATGATGCTCATGCAGTTCGTGAAGATTTAGCTGCTTTCAGTGAAAACGACATTCCAGTCTCAGTTGAGGGAACAACACGTGCTCAGTCTTGCAAAGAAAGTGATATGAGTGATGCTCATGCAGTTGATGAAGATGTGAATAATGATCTTGCAATTCATGCTCGGTCTTGTAAAGAAAGTGCAGAGAATGATGCTCACACAGCTCATGACATTGTAGCTGCTTCTAATGAAATTGAAATTCCAGTCTCAGTTGAGGGTACCATGCTTGCTGATGCTGTGGCTGGAGACAAATTAGATGGATTCACTTCTGACAGGAAATCTCCTGTTAGTTCTTATGCAAGTTATGATAAAGTTGAGATGGAAAATAAACCAGTATCAGACTCTCCCATTGCCCATTGTTCTCCCTCTTGTGAAGAAGATCATTCTTTGACAGAAACTTTTCCGGAAAGCAAGGTTGAGGAGAACAATGAAATTCCAGATATGCTTATCTCCAATGGTCCTGATGTGAGTTCTATTCATGTTGACTCCTCAAATAATCAACTTAATTGTTAGGGTGGAAATGAATTATCTGCTGCTTCAGAACCAACTACTGAAGCAGAAAATTATAAAGGTAGCATTCTGTTTTGATCTTGTGGTATTTACGGAACTGATGTCCATAGAGTAAAGGCTGCTTCCATTTAAGCTGAGTCTTCTGCACCCCAGTTCACTTCTGAACATGATTGCCTATGAAACCAGATACTGATGTTCACCTCACTGACTTAAGCAGCATTAAAGCCCTACCTTCTTCCTCCCAATCAGCTCAATTTTTTCTTTCTGTGCAAGTTATGGTGCCATCCCTTGATGAAGCTGGAAGACCTTAAGATTTGCATATGGGTATGTTTAAACTTGCCAAGAATGTTGATTAATGTTCTCATGCTTCTCACAGCTGTATATATCTGAACTTGTTGAGTTCGACAATTCGGATTTTGTCACCATTTCTTTCTTGTGTTATTTTTCTAAGCAGCAATTTGCCGATTATCTGTCTCAGTTCCTTAAATGGCATAGGTGATGGCAGATTGAGTTTTGAGTTAGCAATTGGTTGTAATCATAAGCACTCTTGTACCTGCAATTTGTTTATAGTATCCACCACCAACATACTGTTCTTTGCAATAACTTTAATAGGAAAGAAATGTGTTGTGACTTGCTTACCATCATCTTCATTTTTTGAATGTTTCATTTTGATTTACTGTGTCAGTTTCTAAATATAATCAAAATTATGAAACTGATATCTAGAGAACTTAGCTATTGGAAG